AAAATCTTTAAAAAAAAAAAAAAAAGAAAGAGTAGCTTAAAGAAGTCTTAACTGCCAACTAGGTATGCACATTTTGAAAATTATATTCTGATATATTTGTATTGTTTTTGTTTGCTTTCTTTTAAAAGTTCAAGATATTATAGAAATTGTTTCAAGTTACATATAGATTTATTTATGAAAGATTGTGTGCACATTAAATCATATCTAAATACAACATAGCTTGGTCTTTAAAGAATTGCTTTATTTTTTTCGTAAAGTAAGAATTTAATTTGTAAAGTCATCACCTCTGCGTCTTGAAATCAAAATTAATTTTTTTTCTTCAAATGAGATACATTTATGTAGAGCCTTTGGTTAATCATGGACTTAAAAAAATTAGTAGGGACCACGAAGAAGGAACTAGAATAGAGAAACAATGTGATAAAGAACAAACAGCAACTAAATTTGTCAGCTGGTTGTCAGACTGAGGAATATTTTCAGGCTAAGTCTCTTCATTGTAAATCATTTCTGAGAATGAGAATAGATATCTCCTGTCTTAGTCTGTTGTGGCTGCTATAACAAAATACCATAGATGGGGGGGGGGCTTATAAACAAACAGAAAGTTATTTTTCATAGTTCTGGTAGAGGATAGGAAGTCCAAGATAAGATGCCAGCAGAATCAGTGTCTGGTGATGGCTGTCTTCTTGCTGTGTCCTCAAGGGCAGAAGAGTCTAGAGAGCTCTCTGGGGTCTCTTTTATAAGAGCACTTACCTCATTCATGAGGTCTCTGCCCTCATGATCTTATCACCTCCCAAAGGCCCCATCTCCTAATATCACAGTAAGGGTTAAGTTTTTAACACCTGTAGTGCTGCTGATATAGCTGGGTATTAGAGAAAAAGGCGAAGTATTGCAAAGTTTCTACAGAACTTAGGGTTGTGAGAGGGGAGGGGAAAAAAGGAGGAAGGGGATATGACTTGGCTGTATTATTGAAGGTTGTGCTACTTTATCTTCTACTTAGACATCTTTTAGAGCTGAGTAACCTTGGCCTTCATTAAAATACGGGGCTGCATTCTCTGTAGCATTCATGCTAAATGCTAGAGACATCTGGTGCATGATCACGTTTGAAATAGGTCTTCAGAAGCAATTGGAGAGGGCAGTTTAGGCTACAAGATTTGTATCACACCTTGCTCTTAAGATGGTCAGTCTCCTGGAACATGATATACTATACAAGGAAAAGTCTTAGAAGATTCAGACTATTGCAGATTCTCAGTCTTAATACTGCAAAGTAATTTGTTTCTCATTTTACTTGAAATACTAAAATTTGTAAATAATTTGCTTTTTGTAAAATATAAATTGGTAGAGATTCAAGGTTATTTCTATATCACTCTTACTTGCATTCCAGTGTGCTTTCTGGAGAAAAAGAGAAGCAGTAGAATTACCAGTACCTGGCAAAATTATGCATAACTTTAGTTATGTCCACAGGAATGTGAACATCTATCCTATATGTCATAGTAGAAAAAATGTTCAGAACCCATTAGCTAATTAGAAAGAAGTTAAGATGATGGGCTTTGTCACTTTGGCCAACCTCTTTGTTTTCTGTAAGCCTTGGTTTCCTGCTCTATAAAATGAAAGCTTATGTGCAGATTAAATAAGAGGATAATAGTAAAATTGACACAGTAAGCTTTCAGTATATTATTATTATAGGTGCCATTTGTGTCCTATGACCTTAAATAAATCCCTTAATTTCTCTGTCCTGTTTTCTCTGTCTATAAAATGGACATAATAGTGCTTGCTCAACTAGAGTCTTTTAGAACTACTTCAAGGAGAAATAAGATAATATCTATAAAATCACTTGGAGCTCTTTGATCCTTAAATTTATCTCAGCTCTGTCTCAGGAAAATGTCATGACAAGTAACACAGCTGCAACATTTAAAGCCGTGAAAAAAAAACAGTCCATCATAGGAACAGTAAAAATAAGTTTTGTTAGGATATCTGTGAGCAAAACATTTATCAAGTTGCAGTTTTATATAACTGACCATATTTCTATTTGAAAATTTTAATCTTCAGCATAGTCTCTTGTAAAACCCAGAGCAAGAAATAGGCCTAGATGTTCCCTAATGTGGAAAATACTTATTCTGTTCTTTAAGCCCTTGGTAGGCATGTGGTTTCCCAACATTCTTTACTTTTTTCCTAATATTTTATTGTGAAAAATCTTCCAACATAAAGCAGGGTCAGAGAATTCTATGCTCAATACTCATTTTCCCACCAACTAGATTCTACCATGAATATTTTATTTTACTTGCTTTAGCACAGATTGACCCATCTATCCAGCCATCATTCCATTTTAATTTTTCTTGATACTTTTCAAACTGAATTGCAGGCTTTAACATATTTCCCTCTAAATACTTAAGTATGCATATAAAGAAGTAGAGTTCAGTGTTTCATTATAGTTTTTTTCTTTTGAGAAAATATTTACATAAAATAAAATGCACAAATCATAAACTTTGACAAATGCATACAATTATGTAACCCGAGCCTATCAAGATGTAGTATATTACCTGGGCACCTGGGTGGCTCAGTCCGTTGGGCGGCTGCCTTCGGCTTGGGTCGTGATCCTGGGGTCTTGGGATCGAGCCCCGCCTCCGACTCCCTGCTCAGCGGAGAGCCTGTTTCTCCCTCTCCATCTGCCTGCCACTCTGTCTACTTGTGCTCTCTCTCTGTCAAATAAATAAATAAAATCTTTAAAAAAAAAAAAAAAAGATGTAGTATATTACCATCACCCTGGAAAGTTTTCTTGTGCCCTTTCTCACTCAATTCCCTCTCCCACCTTCAAAGGTTACTACTCTTCTGACTTTCTACTATAGATTAGTTTTAACTGTTCTGAAATTTTGTATAAATGCAATCATATGTACTCTTTTGTGGTACAATTCTTTTACTCAGCATAAGGTTTTTGAGATTCATTTATCTTGTTGCATATATCCTTAGTTTTTTTCTCTTTTATTGTTGAATGATACGTGTTATATGTCACAGTTCTGTTATCTGTTTTCCCATTGGTGGGAGCCATTTCCAGTTTAGAGTTAATATTAATAAAGTTACTATGAATATTTTTGTACAACCTTTTGTAGGCATACATTTTCATTTTTCTTTGGTAAATTCTTAGGTGTGGAATTGCTGGGTCAAATAGTTTAATTTTCTGGGGCGCCTGGGT